TCTATCTATCTATCTATCTATCTATCTATCTATCTATCTATCTATCTATCTATCTCTCTCTCTTTCTCTCTCTTCCTCTCTTCCTGTCTTTCTTTTCTCTCTCTCCCTCTTTCTCTCTCTCCTCCTCTCTCTCTCCTCCTCTCTCTCTCCTCTCTCTCTCTCTCTTTCTCTCTCTCTGTCTCTCTGTACCTCTCCCCCTTTCTTTTACTTTCGCCATTCCTCTTCTACTACATTATCATCCCCCTTACCCCATCTACGTCTCCAATCATTAACTTGCAGTCCGTGGTCCGGCAAATGTTGTCCCTAGAAGCGTGTCTTGGTTATGTCAATTATGGGAACGGGGAAAAGCCATTCATTTTTCAGCTTTCCCGATCGAGAGAACGCCATGGACATGATTAAGAATGAAAAAAATATTCCTGAGAAAGCTGGAAAATTAAAGAGGGTAATTAAAAATAAGCTATTATCGGAAATTTCCTTCGTGGCTGCGGCCTGTTTTTGTCCATGTGACTGATTGGTCAGTATAACTTAGTTTAGCTGATTCGTTTCTCTTCATTTCTTCTTCCTCTTCCTCTGCCTCTATCTCTCTCTTCCTCCCCTCCCCCCTCTCTTTCACCCTGTCTCTCTCTTCTTTTTTTTTTACTCCTCCATCTATTCTCTTTCTCTCTCTATCTATCTCCGTATATCTATCTCTCTCCCTCTCTCTTCATTTCCCTCTCTTTGTGATTAGATTACCTCGAAAAATTTTTTTTCAAAAACAGGAGAAAAACTTAAGAAAAAAAAAGAAATTAAATGTTTCTCCTTGACGAGTAGGAACTCTGTACACGTGATCTGGGAACAACTTGTATAAGATAATACATGTACTGCCACTGAAGCAATTGTGAATGAGTGAGCAAATATTGAGGAGGCTCTTTTCCCTTTAAAATGCTGGTGGCATGCCTTTTGCTACGTATAAAGAGACACACATTGCGCGAGGGAAAGAAACATCAGTGCAGCTAGAATTTTCAGTTGCAGTTTGTATTTTTTAACCACTTTTCTACCCACGTCTCCATTGTTTTGTTGTTGTTTTTGTTTGTTTTTATTGCTATCAAAATAATACATGAAGTAATCAGAGTTGTAGGTCCAGAACAAAATTCATACACCTGTGCTCACAGTACTGTTCTAATATCCGTATAGCAATGATTCTCTATTAACTACAACAAAAAGACCTTCACCAAAAATCAGCAACACAAAGTCGGGTCGATGTCAAATTTTAAAATAATTCAAAACCTAACAAAAACAAAACCAGGCTCGAGCAAACATTAGCAAAATTATGAGGATCATCTAGTCTTTTCTCTACAGGTGTTCTTTTAAGTCCCACACCGTGCTTATCGGGTAGACTCCCTTTATCTTACAAAATGTTAATGTTGATTAGCAGAATGAAATACGAACCTCAACTGGAGGTAAAGAAGCTCCTTCGTCTGTGTAAGGGTCTAGACTGTGCCTTGTTTTATTTCTATTTCATCATTCTAAAACTGGTTTTTGGAGAACCAAACATAGCATTGAGTTTGTAGGACGCAGAAACATAATAATTATTAATTGCCTCCGTCTCTGGATCTTGAGTTCGTGTCCGAATCAGTGGAGCGTGTCATTGAACTACTCCATACTCAGTTTCAGCTAGTAGTTTCTGTCTAGTCTGTTCTGTCTCTGCTGTTCAGAAACCTGTTGGTTTGTGTTATTCATGGGAGCTGAAGTTAAAGCTACTCCGTGTAATTTCTGAGGCCCAAATGACTTTCCACTAAGGTAATGTCTTCATGGATATTTTACGTCATCTTTGACACTACGCTACCCTAGAATTACAAAGTCCTATCTGCTCAGTACCTACTAATGAGAAATTTGACGTTCAAAATTTTGAATTTCACAACTTGTTAACTTTGTTCGAATGCAATTCTTTGAATATTTTCATGACGATTCGAAATAATCTCACGATTGCCAATAACTCTAACAGCCACAAATGTCAGATAGAACTTTTTGTAATTCTTAATTAGCGACTAGTATGGTTGAGCTTATGGATATTTCACGCCAAGTTTGACACGTCTTTGTTTGCTTTTAATGGATAATTTAAGCCCTCTTTGACACTGGTTCGGTTGTTTTTAGTATGGAACACTTATTGCGCCAACAGAAAGAAGAATTACAGGTAGCAGTTGTTCTGCGCCTAACAAAACCCCTCGCGGATTCGAACGTCACACGTCTGCGTGTTGGTCAAGTTCGTTTTTGACTGTGTCAGAGCCGTCCACGAAGACGACACGGGGAGTGGGAGAAGAGTTTGTGTGTGTGTGTGTGTGTTGTTGTTTTTTACCTTAGTTGCATTACAACGACCGACAAGAGGACGAGTTGCAGTAAAAAGCAAGGTAAGTGAGCAATGTAGCTGATGGCCTATTTTCAGGTTTATGAAATATGAACATTAAATACTAACTCCAGTTTTGTCGGCCGCTTGACTTACGCTAGTTAAGTGAACCAATGTCGTGGCTGGCACAGTTCAGGCCGGTGGTGTCGGGAGCCTAGTGGTTAGGCTACCAGGCCCTCGAGCCTTACCTTTGTCCGACGTTGTGTCCTTGGGAAAGGCACTTCACACAAATGTCCCTTTTGGCTCGGTCCTTTCGGAGATGGACGTAAAGTTTGAAGGTCCCGCCTCTTAAATAACCTGATAGTGTTGATTTAGGCGTTAAACCAATACCACTGTATCATTTTCACACTTCAAGCTGAGCATACCTGCCACCCAAGGGTATTCTCACGCTCTGCTTGGCTGTTTGACTTTTGTAACTACATCAAAGCTATGATATGCAGTCCTTTGTACACACGTAGATGTTGGACCGTATGGAAGATTTTATTTTTTAAATATAGGTGTGTTAACGTCGCCACCGACACAATTTGGATCACGTAGGGGACGGGATTCGACAGGGCCAACCCGAGATGAGAGGAATACAACATCGCGGCAGAAAGCTAGAGATGCTCGTTCAAACATTTCCCCCTGTCGGGAACTAAACTCGAGTCTTCTGCGTGCTTTGGCGAAGCGCCTTACCTCAACACCGTTGACGCCGGTCTTCCTGGCTCGCCGTAAATAACTCAACATGCATTACATACACATTTGCATGTCTGTCTGTATGTCTGTCCAATTTTCTATCTGTTTAGTCAGTCAGTCTTGCTTCTCTCCGTTCAGTTTGACAGTCTTCTTAAGTCAGCAATAAATTACTGATATGTTGTGCTGAAAAATTACGCAGGTTAGCATATATCGACACACATCAGAAGCGGACACAGCTCAACACACAAGCTGACAATCTCCCTCCTAGTAGACTGTACGCTCAGTGCTGTGCTGCGTCGAGCGCACATACTGTGGCTGGCGCCAGGTGCGAATAACAATCAGGTAACATCGATTCTCAAAAGTTACACACTTGCCTTTCCGAACTGACTCACGCCGCTCCAAGGCCCTGTATTACCGGGGGACGAAATACGTTCCCAGAATCATGTAGGTGTGTGGTCATTGCGCCTGCCAATTGTTTAATCGAGTGAAAAGACAGGTCGTTACGGTCTTTTTTTCGAAGTCAGAGCAATTTTACTTTCCGATGAATAATTGTTTACGTGTGTATTCAACTTTCGAGAGGATCCGGAAGTACAAGTCAATTACCAATTATTCATTCGCGAGCGGTGTATGCTTTTTCTACCTGTTTGTGTCGTTCCTCTTTAAAAACATGTTTCATGCTTTCTTAAAATTGTAAGTAGATCTAGATCTATGTAAAAAGCATCTGCGTGGCTGTCACGGTTGCATGACCGTATGTTACATTTTTAACACACCAGAATATATACATCGATTACAAGTTCGTGTGCATACTTCCTAGAAGTGTAAATGGCATAGGCCTACTATTTTCAAACATCTATAAGTTTGACTTAATTTCTACGTGAGGCTTCAGTTTGCGCCTTCAGTTTGCGCCTTCGTTAGGCCCAATAATTGTACTTCAATATCAAACGCGTGCTCTTATTTGATTCTAAGTTATTGTGTATTTTATATCTAGATGTGTAAGTCGTTCCACTGTTGAAACTCAATAAATACAGTATCCGTCGACTGTGAGCAGTTTATTGTGCACAGTGTGTGTGATGAATTAATTTACCAGCAGACCGGCAAATGTACATCGATTACTGTTTCACACTTGTGCTTAATTAGTGACTGTGGACTTGCTCGCGTTCCCGCTGTGTTTTATCTCTTCTTCGTGCTGTGAAAATAAAGTGGCGCTTTGCCTGGGTGTGCAAAGTTGTAGACTGTCCCTTTCCGATAGTATGCCAAGTGCACGTTGTTTGCTAGGCAAACGTCTACTGGAGTTGCTTCTCTGATCATCTGATGCTGAAAATTAAGTGATGCCCAGGCATTGTTTCATGGGTTTGATTCTCGTGCTTTGAGGAAGCGAGAAGAACACCGGCCCCCTTTTGTTGTTCTCTGTTTTCGTTTCGGATAATTTCGCTGCATGATGAGAGAACAGCAGCCCGAGGGGGACCGCCCCATGAGGATAATCGCCAGGTTCGGGGGACCCAAGCCTCGAGCCCCGAAGGTAGGAACTACCAGATCTCGTCTGCTTATTACTTCTTTTTGATTTGTTCCCATCTTGTTACCGGTTCGGAAAAAGGGTGTGTGTGGGTGGGGGGGGTGACATTTTTCTTTTGCCGTAGATGTTATGAGGGGTGGGGCATTTTATTTATTTTGTGTGTCGTTTTTTTTAGATAAAAAGGGAAGGGTGTTGTTGTTGGGTTTTTTGTTGTTTTTTTGGGGGGTGCCTTTTCTTTTTGCGGCCCCAAATCACACCTGATCAGTCCGCGAGAACTGGGTGATTTTTTTTTTTGGCCAAATCAAGCACAAAACTGCGTTTTGACCAAACACCTGTCTATGGAACTGTGCCCAGTGTCTGTTCTGTAGCAGTTAAGAGTTTTGTCGCTGCATGCATGAGACCCAAGGTCGATTCCCGAGTGGTGAGAGTTTGCATGCATCCAGTAGCTCCGTCTTTCTACAGAGATGTTGTATCCTTCTATGCCCAGGTTGGCCCGGACAGTCAGGGTCAAAGCGTGTCTCCTTAATTATCTAAATTATGTCGACATGGACATAAGCACACCTGCATTTTAAGAGAAGTGTTTCCTTTAAGGAATTTTTCCGCTCCAATTAGATGGTGCGCTCGGTTCAGCACCTAAAGATCCAGCGCGCAAGTTGCCTTTCTTCGTCTCACAGAAAGAGCAAAGGTAGTCTTCAAAGATGCATGAAAACATTATAATTAGTAAGTTGAGGTTGAGCACAAGTCTCATGAGAAACCGTTAAAGTAAAATCTTTTCACACGTGGTGTGACAGTTCTTGACTCGCTAGGTGGTCATCATCATCATCACCAATGCCTTTCACCACTGGCAGGGTATAGGCCACATACAAGCTCCTTCCATTTATCTCTGTCCTGAGCCATCCTTCC